AAAAGACCACCGAAGAAGACATTTACGAATGACCAGCACATATAATCTCTTATGTGAGCAGTTTCGGCGGGAATGGCATCAGTCCTATTTTCCGTTCGTGGCAGTTGTGTGATGTTGAACTGACGTCGATATGGCGATGGAACAGGAGCTTTAACCGTAATTGGATTGGCAAAACTATTTGTAGATCGACCTTTGATATTATATAATTCTGGATAACGTTGACGATCTCGTCGATCCATCTCGAGATAATGTCCAATCACTGATCCAAGACTCATTGCGTCTGCTGTTTGCTGTTTGAATTAGTAAAGTAACACTTAAATAAGAAGAGTCGTTGCTAATATTTGCACCGTGATAAATGGAAGGTAGACTCTGAAGACTGACAAGATAAGAGGATCTTGTATAGAAACAAAATAACACTGATGTGTTTAGTGTGCGCAACAAATGCGATATAACATGAATGTGATTGTGGGCCGGTATATGAAGAAGAGAATCTTATCTATTCTTTAATCTTGCAAGTTGGGACGTGATATTTTCTGTTTATTAAACATGACTAATTCTACCCATATCGATAAATTATCGTACTCTGTTAAAATTTTGAGCTCAAACCGGAAGGTGAGTCACGATTAAAAGAAGACACAAACTCTCATACATTTACTTGCATTACACGATACTTTATGATTTGATTAAGCTATTCAACTATTAAAAAGGTTAATATAAAAGTCATTATCCTGTTTCACATCACTTTGCTCTTGAGGGTGTGGGTGTGGATGGGTGTGGGTGAGGGTGTATGTGTGGGTGTGGGCGTGATAGAACCACAGATGTCCACACCCACACCCTCAAGATGAACAAACTCTTTCTCGTCAATAAATACTCACCTTCTATTGTCACTCTTTGTAGACTTTGCAAGATGTAGATATGTGTTTAAAAGTATTCGTACAATTTTATCTTTCTCCTCTCACTCGTCCTCCTCTTTGTTACAATATGCATTGCCTGAAATCTTGACGTAATATTCTCCTTAGTCAAGATAAGAAATATTCATAGGCAAATGATAACAATAAACGTTTTGCATACATTTATCGGTTGTCTTTCACCGAAATGCATATTTCGACGAAACCAAAGATGTCTATCGGCTACATCAGTATCCTGAAGAGTGGGTGTGATTGTGGATGTAGATGTGAGTGTGGGTATGGGTGTGGATGTGTGCGGGTATGGGTGGGAGTGGATGAGTGTGGTTGAGGAGAATTGATTAGCTTCTCTTTATGCACCTTGACCTACACATACACTCACACCCCTACATCAACAGATCCACACTAGTCTTCGAGCCGATCCAGTTTTTTTCGACCGAACCGTACCTGAACAGCCAGCCGAAATTCTTGATCTAAACGACAAAAACATATAAAAACCAGCACGAACCAGTGAAAACCCGTAAAAATCGGTTGGTTCACATTTACACATGCGACGAGAAACCGAAAGCTCAAACCTCAGAGCTGGACGTTTAACGACGACTATAAATCTTGAGGGTGTTGGTGTTGATGCAGTTTTAACTTGCCCATACTCTCACCCACACCCTCGTGGTAAAATCAAATTCCTTTTATGATGATGTATTTAAGTAAATTAATTATATGTTTCACAGATACTATCTAATAGTGATAAATTTCACATTATAAATAAAAAAAAGTATAATACTACACTCGTGTAACATCGAATCCTGCTTGAGGAAAATGAACATTGATATTGCCTGCTTTTGTATCTGAAAGTCGCAATACAATTTCATGATTATCTACAGCAATCAATGTTCCTTCAACTGGTACGCGACCACTGTCATCAGGTGTAACACGTAATTTTTCACCAATAATCCATCCATTATTCAAATTTGTTTTGATATAATTAGGTTCTGCAGGTTCAGCTTGCTTAGCTATATCGAATGCTTGTTCTGCTGTTAAAGTTTCACTTGTACCATGACCTAGAGCGGCTACACGTTCAAACCATGATAATAATAATCCTGGTTTATATAATTCAGGTAGAAAATTTTGAGCTTTGTCCTTACAATTATGTTTAATAAACCAAAGTGTATGATATGCAGTGATATCAATTGCTGATGGTTCTTCTTGAATAAATGAACGACCATCAGCTAATATATCAATCAAGCATGCTAAATGTGTGTTAATACGTTGAATATTTAATGGCATATTTATCTCGTTTGTTTCCTTCGATAAATCAAGAGCAGCCGCAAATTGTTTTCGATCGTCTATAAATTCATCAGGTAATTTGTCACCATAAAAACTAGCCCATATTCCTACTGCAGGCACAAACGTTGCCTTGTCCCACCACCAACAGAGAGGTTGCGTTGTACTATTCGCAAAGAGTGCAGGTGAATCAGGACGAAGACGATCCAATGCACGTAAAATAAGATGTGTATCACAATAGATATCAGCTCCTACTTGAAGCACTGGAGTACGACGATAGCCACCAGTTAATGGTTCAAGTAAAGGTCGTGGTGGCATTGAATTAATAATGACGGAATGCCAATTTAATTTTTTCAAACCCATTGCTAAACGTATTTTCTCCGAAAATGGCGAGAGATCATAGTGATGAAGAATTAGTTCTTCAGACATTCTTATACTAATATTTATTACCGTTATATGAAAATAAAAAAAGTAGTTTTATGGCCGAACACGTGGAGTAACACTACTTTCATAAATAGTCAAAAAGGAGATAAAATTGTTAAAAGGAACGATACACACATGTTGAGATAAAAGCAATATTAAACGAATCATATAACAGAAGCATTTTGAAAAAAGAATATGAGGTAAAAGTTATACCTTGAGATTTATTCGATCAAGATTATAACGACATCTGTCTAGAATATTTCATTCATTTATTCATTTTTCAAACCATCTTGAGGGTGAGAGTGAACCTGAAAATAACTAATATGATGCGTTTCATTGCGACTAGAGGAAATGTTAAATGGCAAAGTATTCTGCATAATCAAAATCATCAGAAAATATCAAGTTATATATCACATCAATGATTATACGCGGGTGTTGATGTCGATGTGATGAGACTAACGAAGAATAAAAAGACATCACACTCACACTCTCAGGATTCTATTGTCAAACTATTTTTTGTTATAAGTAATGATAAATTTATGTACGGTTTTACTAATGATGTTCTTACTAAAGCCCTGCTCTTATGGTTAATTACAAAACTAAAATATCTTTTAAAAATTTCTTACTAATATTCATACGCTGGACAGTATGAATCCTTCTTTCATGGATAATTTTTAAATAAATTGTTTAGACCATCATTTAATTGGTCAGATACCTATATATATATATATATATATGAAATGATTCTCCCAACTAAAGTCGAAAGTAAAAATGTCGAAGAAAAAAAGTCGCAATATGAAAATGATAAGACTTTATTTGCTCGAAACAACTTACCGGGAAAAATAAAAAAAGACGTTTGTGGGTGGGTGTGGGTGTAAATATAGGCATTTATCTATATTTAGCCACACCCACACCCGTTTAACTTCCTCTTTCATCAATCGTATTAACAAAGTGTAATGAATAATAGATAACATCAAGTTGTAAAGCTGACTTAAATAAAATTCATGATTCAACACACATTGTTACCTATAAGAAAAAGCAACTTTGAGCATACTTTCTTAATAGTTGTTTTATTGTGAAGGTATTCTTAAGATTTCGATGACTAATGCAACAGCAAAAGATGTTTTAAGATCTTTGCAGATGGTATCATTTCTTATGAACTCTGATCATATTCAAAGGGAAGAATCATCAATGTGCCAATCCGAACAATGGCCTGTTCCTTTCTCTTAATCTCCATTTGCACTTAGATGTTTGTCCTCATAGAGCTAAAATTTTCGTACTTTACTTCAATAATATGCACTTTAATCGAATGCTTTTGATCTATACAGTGAACGATGACATTACACGTAGAGTGGCATTTTCGTATAATGTGGCATTTGCTTATGATATGCCATTATCGTATGATGTGCCATTTTCTATATGATGTGCCAATCTCTATTTGATGTGACTTTTTCTATATGATGTGGTGTTTTTCTGTAGCAGGATACTAAATATTCCGAGTACTATATAAAGGATAACAAATATTCAGTAAGATGTGCGATTTCTTAAATAAAATATACATAGTCAGCATCATACTCGAGTCTAGAAATTGCTACAATCAATTTCTCCTTTACAAACAATATTGAATACAACCTTTTTGGTTTTAGTTATTGATTTTATTTTCTGGACCTTTGCCTAGTTCTAGCCAGCGACCATAGAAATCTTGGAAATTTTCTACTTTTTCGTTAAACCTGGATGAGAGTGAGAGTAACGAGCTCTCGATCGCCTTTACTCTCAGATCTCCATGTCGTCACACAAACCCTCAAGATGGTTTAGTCCATCTAAACTTTTAATAGCCACTAGTTTTCAAACGTCTTCTAGCAACTTTTATAATTCTAACGATAGATAAGTATGAGCATGAGTCTTCGACAAATAAAGCTCTTCCTTGTTATTTAACTTCTAGCTCTAAATTTTGAGTTCTCGCTTTTTCATCATTTAATGTAGGAGTGAGATTATACCGACGACTAAACTTATCGTGGTAGCAAAAAGTTAGCAGATCGTCAAAAGCTCAAAGCGGCTATAAGTTTCAATGTGCTTTTTGACTGTAGGATAGTTGTAGATGTGGATGAATCATGAAATAAATACTCACCTAGACTTATACTGATATCTACACACATTTTCTCCAGTCAGCGAATAAATCTGCAGTTGTTTCTTATGATCATATTCGCCCCATAATAAGCTCGAAAAATATCCACAGTAATTCTTTTAAATGGTGGTGTCTTTGTTAGTCTAACTTCTTGCTTACTCAATACTTTCTATTCTCCTTTTTCAATATTTTCCACTAATGTATTATTTCTTTTTGAGATCAATTTCTTTCTAAAAACTCATCGAATCTATCAAAGACTCTTAAACGAATATGTACAAATACATCTGGTGTTATAGCATAGCTGCGTTGATATGGCTTCCAGGCTTAACAGCTTTATTAATATTGTTTGGTCCGTGGGAATACATTACAGTTGTCGTTCCTATCTATGGAATTATAGTTTTGATTATATATATCTTCCGCATCATCTCCACGAAAAACATGATTAACGCATACAACCGTTTTTTACTTAACGTATTTGTCACATGGAATGCTTTCGGAAATACTGAAACATGGCTGAATAGCAACGAAGACTATACTAGCAACACGATCATTGCATGTTATCCACATGGACGATGGTCATTTAACCTTATTTATCAATTTTGCCATCCTCGTCTTGCTAATATAGGTATAGGAACTCATACTGGTTCGTTTTTCGTGCCCGCAAATGCTATAGTTATGGCTCTCTTGGGAAAACATAGATCTATGACGGCAAGCAAAAGAAGTATCAATAAAAACCTTCAAATAGCACCTGTAGCTATTGTTCCTGGTGGGGCTCATGAATCAATGTTATGCAATCCTAATGAGAAAAATGTTATTCGTCTATATACAAAACACATTGGATTTTTAAAACTAGCAATGGAAAATAAATCCAAGGTGGTGCCCTGTTTCACTTTTGCAACACAATTTGAATACAATAACATACTACGCGTCGTCGACTCTTTTTTATTTGATACAATAGGTTTTCCTCTGAATTTTCTCATCCTAATGGGAAAGGTATCACCGCTTCTTATCATGGGTAAGACCTTGAATTCATGGGAATTTACATCTTTGAACGAATTCAAAAGTACATATTTTAACGAACTCAAGCATATTTTTGAAAAAAATAAAAAAAATGCTCCTGGATTTGAGAAGGCGGTCTTAGAATTTGTTGAAGAAAATGGCAGTAAATCATATAAAGTAAATTTTACTGTACGTTGTGTGGTCTTACTTGGCATAATTTATATTTTAAAGCAAATGTTAACTATCTGGAAATATAACAAATGGTTCTTATATTATATAGCACCGACCTTACCATTGACTAGTCCAATGATATTATGTGTTCATGCAGCATGCTCATTCTTATTTTGGGTGTTGTGTTACTTTCAAGTATTATCAGAAAATATGAACTATCATAAAATGATCGGAAAATTCATATTTTATTTGTGGTTTTTAGTATGTATGCCGACTAGTGTACATCTTGCATGGCACGGAGTGAATATGCTGGAATATGTTATTTTAAAAGTGCTAGTATTCTTAAATTTTATGGAGACTTTTTCGAGTATATGCTACATGCTCGCTAAAGGAATCTTTATATTTAAGAGAACAGATAAAACTCTAGCTGAAAAAATTACTGGTCACAGAGCGTACTTGGGAAAGGCATTGATAATTTCTCACGTCATAATCTATCCACGTGTACTTTATGGTATTATCAAACTATTTTTTGTTATAAGTAATGATAAATTTATGTACGGTATTGTTAATGGTGTTCTTACCATACCCCTGCTCTTATGGTTGATTACAAAACTAACTAAAATATCTTTTAAAAATTTCTTACTAATATCCATTCGTTGGACAGTATGGATCATTCTTTCATTGATAATTTTTAAATAAATTGTTTAAACCATCATTTAATTGGTTAGATACATATATGAAATAGTTAGTAGACAAAATAATAATGAGGGTGTGGATATTATACTCGGCTATTATTCTCACACACCCACACCTTCACCATCTGCGGATTTATTTATATCAACCATGCATGATTTAATTTATTTTTTTACTTGGTTTAAATAAAAGTATATCAAAATATATTGTCAATATTAAATAGAATAAAAAGAAGATACTATATTATGATATGAAAGTCAAATTCGAATTTAAGTTTTTCAAAAACACTATAATTGCTAGATAAACTCCAAATTTCAAGTAATAATCATATGAAGTCATTTTCGATGTTATAATTGGAAAATCAAATTTATTATTCTTAATGTTTCGAATATATTACTTTCAAAAAACTGAAAAGACAACAAGTAAAACGTATTTCTAACTAATTTTTATCAGTGAAAAAGAAAAAAAGAAAATATAAAAAAGAAAACAAAAAAAAACGATCGATAAAATATGTGATACTAACTAAATGCTTAAAAATGTCAATTTGTGCATTTTGTATGCCAGCAAGTGCAATTCGTTGTTTCTATGAAAAAAACAAAGAAGCATTCAGTCGAATACTATATATTAATTGAAACGATAATCTAAAGAAAAACATATAAAAACTATAATACAATATCGAAATTACTCTGTCTTAAATAAATATATTAATAGTCTTGAGGAAACATGTTTATCTTTACTTTGAAAAATCCATTCAAATATGTAATTCACTTTATAAAAGTATTAAAAGGATGTGCTAGTAACTAAGAAATAACGATAGAAGAATAAATCATTAGAAAATTGTGTTCAACTATTTTATACAGTTGGAAGGAATATTTGAACGAATTATGCGACTGATGAGTATATGTGACTTATAAACTGTTTGCACAAACATTTGATGCATCTATTTTATTCACTTTCCGTAGAAGTTTTATTCGATCAGCTGATTAATGAACAAACGACAGATGAATAAGTCATACGAAGATTGTGTACAGGTATTTCTTTTCGTTCGAAGGACAATTTCTAGGACAGGTTAACTTTCACAAATAAATGATAGATGAATAAGTCAAAGGAAGATTCTGTTCTAGTATTTTACTTTATTCGAAGAGCAATTTTTAGAACAGTTTAACATTGACAAACAAATGACAGATGAATAAATCATAAAAAGACCTTGTTCTAGTATTTTAGTTCGTTCAAAGAATAACTTCTACAATAGTTTAAAATTCACAAATAAATGATGAATGAATGAGTTAAAGGAAGATTCTGTTCTAGTATCTTACATCGTTCGAAGAACAACTTCTATAACAGTGTAACACTCAACAAAAAATGATAGATGAATAAGTCATAGGAAGGTTTTGTTCTAGTATTTTACTTCGTTCAAACGACAACTACTACAACAGTTTAACATTCACAAACAAATGATAGGTGAACAAGTCATAAAAAGACTTTGCTCTAGTATTTTACTTCATTCGAAGAGCAATTTCTAGAACAATTTAACACTCCCAAACAAATGATAGGTGAATAAGTCATAGAATGATTCTGTTCTGATATATTATTTCGTTCGAAGAAAGATTTCCAGAACAGTTTAACATCTACAAACAAATGACAGATGAATAAATCGTACCACGATTCTGTTCTAGTCTTTTACTTCGTTCGAAGAACAATTTCTAAAACAGTTTAATATTGACAAACAAATGATACATGAATAAGTCAAATTAATGTTGTGTTCAAATATTTTTTAACATTAAAATGAGATTTGTATCTTACATTACCGCATCTTGAAATAAACAACAGATGAATACTTCTAACAAACATTATATTCACATACTTTACTCAATCCAATGTGGGATTTACGTTTTGTTTAAAAAAAGATAAGTTAATGGACAATGGATACGTTTTAACAAGATCTTATGTTCAAGTATTTTCGTTAGTTTAAAGTCACATTTCTATGATACTAGATAACGAAGAGATAGTGATTATGAATGTCACATACGAAGCTGTAATTCAGTTATTTTGTTGAAATAGAATCGATATTCCTAAGAGACTGCTGGATCGAAGAATGAACGATAATGAATATTGCGTAGAAAAGGTACATACTAATATGTTGAAGAGCATATAAATTGTTAGTTGTATGAAAGTATATGACTTATTCTTACATGTAATATAAATTGAGCGAACAAGAGATTCATTAAAATATGTTAGCGACTTCAACGTAACATTTATCATTGTATGTTTAATCAGAGATAGTTCAATATATGAATTGCAGAACAGTAGTGTTATAGGAATATTTTAATCACAGCAATACAAATTAATATAATGAGTATCGTAAGCTATAGTCACATAGAAAATGAATATTGCAGTCATGAGCAGATACAGATACGTTTAACTTTGCGAAAAATAGTTTCATTTCAACCAATGATCAAGTATCTTATGGAAAATGAATATTTCATACTGTCATACTTTGTTCAAATATTATTCTCGTTTCTCAAAATATGATTGAAGTGACAATATGATTGTATAGCATAAATTAAATAAATAGTTCTATCGATTATAATATTAGTCAAATATCTCATGTACTCAACAAAAAGGCAGGAATAATTTTATGTACAAGAACTCAGTAGAAAATGAACTAAAAGTACAAAGATTCTGTTTGAATATAATGTCAGAATTTCAAAATACACAGATACTGTAATAATAAGAATAAAAATTGTATACTACTTGAATGGTTTCAAGGATAATCCTATTCAATTGTTACCTGACTTTTGAAGAAGAATTGAGAATTTATCTAAGATCGGTGAATATATTCCAAATGAATATTCAGCAAAAGTATTCTGTTCAGATATATGCCATGCTATAACAAATAATCTGAGATTCGTTTTGACTGATGAATACACTAAAAATGAATATTTCCAAGCAGAACTCTAGTCAAATATATTTCTCGCAATTGTTAAAATTCGAGATTCATCACACTTACTGAATACACAGTAAATGAATAATTGTAAAGATAATTCTGTTCAAATATTTGCAAGGTTAACAACAGACCTAACACATGTGATGAAATTAGTGTCTATGTTTACAATGAATAATTGTAATTAATGTACTATTCCAATATTTGTTCATTGGATAAAACAATAGAAAAGATCATTCAACATTCAATAAATCTGTAGTTAATGTACAATTATGAGCAAGTTATCATTCAGCATTCATTTACTATTACGAAAAACTTTAAGTTTCTAACATATAATTAATAAATATAAGACTAGTGAATAACTCAGACAAATCTTTTCTTCGAATATATTCTTATTCACAATAAAAGCAATCAAAGTGTATATACTGATAAAGAAGTTCATAACAAATGAACTACTCTGACATTCTATTCAGATATTTTCGTGAATGTCATGTATTTGACGAAAGCATACTAAATAGCACAGATCACAGGTAAAATGAATGAAGGATACGCTTCTCATAATATGTTTGGAGAAGTCTCTTGATAAATTGGTTGCCAGTTTCTACAGATGTATCTTCGTGAAAACCATCGTCAACGAAGCGGGCCTTGCATAGAGTTGCACACAGGACCAATAAAGCCAAGGTATAAACTACCATGTTGCTGTTAACCATTGTAGTTGTTTGTATTAAATGAAAAATTAACTATCGTATGATAGTATTAATTTTGCACAGATAGTCTCAGTCTTATATAGTCCCCTCGAAGGCAGGGGAGGAAGAGAGAGTAATGAAAATATATCGTTTTTTCTTTTTCAATACAAAGCAAGGCTTTTTCATTAGAAAAAAAATAGATACAAAAAAGAATGACTGATTCTGAAGGTTCTTAAAATATAATGGCCTTGCTTTCCCTTCATACAAACAAAGAATATCCTTGTTGTTTATATTAACATTATTCTACACATAAAAGAAACACATTATAAAAATATTCCTTTATATCGATATAATTTTTTGTTACTTTTTGATTAACACTTATGTTTAATGATATGCAAAACAAGTATTACTGATCTATTCATCCATTGCTTAAATTTATCAATAACGTGTCTACTATTTGAAATAGTAGCTTTCATATAGATACGATTATGACTTTGAAAATAGATGACAGCTATACACAAGTATTGGATAAAGAAAAAGAGAACGAGAAAGATATGATCAATATGAAACTAACTCATGTGTGACAGAAACGAAGGATATATACGAAAAAATTCAAACTAATGAACGTCGACAAAATACTCAATCAATAGTAGGGATGTTACTTTATCTTCACTTTCTGAATAAAGGTCAAGATTTACTTTATTTATAAAAGTAAAGTTAGAATAAAGAATAAAGATGTATTTTTTCACGTTAACTAGTGTTTTTTCTTATCATTATCATCAAAAAAAGGATCACATAACAAACGATATATACGAAAAATGTTATTCCATATTATATTTGCCTATATAATATCATGACTTTTTGTGAGTTACTCTAAAAAAATAAAAAATTACGTTTCGAAAGAAAAAAATTTCGTTATCCTTTATTTTATCTTTATTTTATAAGAATAGTTTTTTTAATCCCTTTATCTTTATTCTATAGATGTATTTTACGTAGGAAAGAATTTATATTTAAAAATAATTGTTTAAAGTCATCATTATTTTGTAACACCATTAATATACTTAACTCAAATAAGAGCAATGTTTATAATGTCCATAGAAGAAAAAACAATAGACTATTCAAAGTGAACACTTGATATATACATATCTATTATTTCAACAGTACGAAATATAAATTTAAGAGTGAAAATATTTACAAAACACATTATTTTATTGAACAATTTTTTTGTAAAAAGACATTCAATAAACATTATCGTTTGAACTTGGTAGTCATCCAGAAAATGAAGAACCATCTTTATCAAATAAATATAGTCGTTCTCAAATTGAATCGAGTTCACAATCTCAACATGACAAAGAGCCAGTGACAAAAAACCTAAAAAGCTACTACTACCTTGAAAAAAACAACAAAAACAAATTCAATTCAAACAAAAAATTTTTTAAAAAAATGTAATAAACTTGATAGTACAGATTATTATGATAATTCAGATGATCAATAGATAATTGGGACAAATCAACATATAATCATCACCAAAAACAATAATGATCGACAACAAACAAGTAAATTTCAATAGTCATTTTGAATATTTATTCATCTTTTTTTTCTTTTAATTCAATTAGATTCGCGTTTTAAACAAAATTCATCGACGTTAAATAAAACTAACGATAATCTATTGATTCAACACCACAAGAATCAATGGTATATAAACCACAACAACAAATAAATGATTGTCGTCAATCAGAATCTTATCAACAACGATATCAAACAATAAATACAGCATATATACCACCATTAATGAGTGTACGATCTGATATAAATACAACTGCGAAATTGTATGAAACTGCTAATCATACAAATACAAATAATAAAAAAAACGAAGCATTCATTTGAACAAACAAAAACATCAGTTATTGATTAGACTAATTCTTCGTTAGAGACACCGAAGGTTACTAATGAAGAAGTATCACTAAAAAAAATCAAATAAAACATCTGTATTAACTCCAACAACGAAAGTATTGGCAAAAGAATTGGAAAGTCAAATGATTCCGGTAATAGCATATCAGATGAAAAAGTTGCAATAAAAAATGATAATGAAACTCATGTTATACAAATAGAAAATGAATCAATAAAAATAAATAAAAAACAACAACAACACCGTCATCAAATTCTAAACGACGTACAAATAAAGATCAACGATGTAAAAATCAACAAGCTTCACGTCATAGAAATAATTATACACGAGCAATGTAAGGTAATCTTTCATATTATCCTCCATGTTTTAAAATTAATCACTTTTAATTTATGAATTGGCAATAAGTCAATAAGAAAATCAGATCCTGAGTGTTTGAATTTTGTTAGATTTGACAATAAACATGAATGTGCTTTTATCTTTCTAAATAACTATTCATTAAGAAGTATTTGATATGAAATATATAATCCTTCTTTTGAAAACAGAAATATAATAGAGGAAATTTTTTTATAAAAGTAAGTTATTTTATTTAATCTCGATAATCGTATTGAATATTTATTTAGAATATGATACACAATGCAAATGTCTGGTACACATAATTATTATGGTTCAGTTTGTCGAGCAGTACATGGTGGTCGTAATTCATACACACATGATTTATGCATTAATTACTATTATGAACATACTCAACAATAAGTTTTCATTTTCGCATTTCTTTATATATTATTCTTATTTATATATAAAGACATTATAATAATCGTTATAATTATTCGAATGAACATTATCAACAACAACGTCCAACAAATAATACACATTCTAAATGTGATGGTGCATCACTTATACGCTTGGTAATATGCAAATATTTAAGTTATGATTATCTACAAAATTACTGGATGTTTTTCAATCAAATTTATTCTTATTTGAGTAATTTAAATACACGAACCGATTTTCTTTCGACTAAAACACTTCATGCACATGAAGTTGTATTATTATTTGGCACATATTTTGAAGTGATATTTCAAGTTAACTAGATATTATTCATTTTCAAGAAATAAAACCATCACACTAATTACTTGAACTACAATATGAAGACGCACTCTAGATCTTGACCGGCTGTTTTAATTCAAATATACTCCATTTAGAAGCTACGTTATTACTAATTTTAGATGCTAATGTAAATAGGATACTTATTTGTTAAAGTATCATCAGTATTTTTTTTCTTGATTAGCTAAAGATTTTCTTTATATATTAAGATTTTGTTGGATTTTTCTCGTTTTAGTATCTGCTGTCAGTGAAATCTAGCTTGTCAATAACAATAACAAATGAACAAATATTTTCACTTCAGATATTAGTTTGATAAATCATTTTTAAATGAATAACTATCAGAATTATGTCTATTCATTTTATAAAGTGTGATAATAATTATGAAAAGTTATGAATAGATGGTTTCTGAAAACAGATTTTAGATGAAACGAGACGTAGCAATGACGGTATGACTTTTTTCTACCTCATCTATTTGTAATTGATATTACCTTGGACATAGTATTGAACAGTCAACTAACAATAAGTTAAGTAAATTCTTTTAAATATGAAAAAATAGATATTTCAATTAATATCATTATGCATAATTTCTTACTTTTTCACCAAATTTTTTTTCATTTGAATGAAAATCTATAGATTATTAGTTTTTGGATTAATTTCATATTGAATACCTATTTAGTCCACAAATTGATCTGGACACTAAATTATTAATGGGTTGAAATGAATATTACTGTGGTTTATACAATATTATATAACTTGTAAAACAGCTAATCAAGGTGTAAACTTTCAAAAATGAATATATAGTGTGATAGGATGAGAACTACAAGATTTATTCTTTTAAATTAGATAAATTTCTGATGGTATGAAGTCAATATTTGCAGCAACATATTTTCATGATATAATAATAATAAAGAAGAATGTTGAAAATAAGATCAACTTTTTATTAATTATTTCGACTAATAATAATAATAGTACGTGACTATTCTCTGATTTTTTAAAGTATGCCTATACCATATGAGATTTATTGGATCAAGATTACAACGACATCTGTCCAGAATATTTCATTCATTCATTTTCCAAGCCATTCATATTCCTTTGAGTATCATCTAGTAACTAGAAACTAATAAAAATCAACGATTGTTCAAAATTTAAAAGAAACTACTAATTAATTTTTATTTTTCTATTGATATTTCAATGTGATCAAGGTATTGATCTATTTAAGATTTTATACAATTGATTTTTAGTCAATTTTTTCGAACAATTATAAATATTTAACAGTTTTATATTCTCAATGGAAAACGCTCAATCAAATAATTCTAATCGTCATCCACCTCATCTGCGTGGTAAAGCAATAGGTATGTGGTATGCTCAACATCGTCGATCAAATAATGGTCCTCAAGCATCATCACAACCTCGTCCATCATCTTCACAACCAGTAGCAACGATTGAATTATCTGCAAATGAAATTCAACGTGTTACAGAAGTTCGTCAATTATTTAATCATCATCAACAACCACCACCACGCAAACATTTCAAAGAATCTTTATTAAATATAAATGATAATGCACCAATTGATGATGTAGAACATGCAGTTCAATTTGACAAATTACATAGTTCATTTCAATATTTTGAACCATTAGAACGCAACTCAGTAATTGATCAAAACCTATTAGAAGATTTACATAAAAAACAACGTACATCATTATATCAAAAATTGAATGTTAAACGAACTCATTTGCCTATAACTGATTATCGTCAAGAAATTCTTAATACAACTGAACAAAATCAAATATTTATTCTTGTTGGAGAAACTGGATCAGGTAAATTTCTTTTATTGATAGATATAACTTAAAATTTATTTCTTTAAGGAAAAACTACACAAACCGCTCAATTTATTCTTGATGATCAAATTTTAAAAAATCAAGGTAGTCAATGTCGAATACTTTGTTCACAACCACGTCGTATTAGCGGTTCGTTCATATTTTTAATGATTAGAAGCTTTTATATTTTCTTTTTTTGTTTGCTATTCTAGCAACATCAGTTGCTGAACGTGTTGCTCAAGAACGTGGTGAAACACATCCCGGTGATTCTGTTGGATATCATATTCGTCTTTCAGCTCAATTACCACGTAAAAATGGTTCAATTTTATTTTGTACAACAGGAATGTTACTTAAATATATTGAAAAATATACTCATTTCGAACATTTTTCTCATATAATTTTGGATGAAATACATGAAAGAAACATTGAAATGGATTTTTTACTTATTTTCATTAAACGTTTATTACAAATACGTCAAGATATTAAAATTATATTAATGAGGTACATATATATATTTATAAAAAGAATTTCTTTATAAATATTTTTTTCATTTCTAGTGCATCAATTCAAGCTGAAAAATTTAGTTTATACTTTAATAATTGTCCAATATTACATATACCAGGAAATATTTATCCAATAAAAGAATATTTTCTTGAAGATTATATAACAAAATTAAAATATCCTTACGATAATACAACGAATAATCGACGAACATATCGATCATCAAATAAAGAAAATGATGAAATGAAATTAAATCATTATATTAGTGAACTTGAATTAGATTTAGCTCAACAACATAAATCTATTGATGTTCTGAAAAAAATTCAAGCAATTGGAACTGATTATGGTTTAGAAATAAATTGCGATTTAGTTGTCAGTGTTATTGAATTGATATGTCGAATATCTTCTCAAGGTATTATAAAATGAAATGAGAACAATAATAAGAATCTGATGAGCAGCATTGTACAAATAATGTCACCTGCATATCTTCTTATCGTAATAGTAGAATACTAGGCTTTCTTAATAAGCACTTAATTCCGAGATAACCACCATTAAATAAAAATATTATTAATTTTGTATATACATTCTACGTATATTATCCAGAAACTTTCTATTGATTCAGAATAAAAATCAAACAATTAGTATTTCTATATTGAAATTCTAGGTACAATTCTGGTATTTCTTCCTGGTTGGAGTGAAATTGTTAAATGTACTCAATTACTTCGTCAAAGAACATTACTAGCATCTTATTTACATATTTTACCATTACATAGTTTATTACCATTACATAATCAACATGAAATATTTGATCCACCACCTCATCCAACTTTACGTAAAATTATTTTATCAACATCAATTGCTGAAACATCAATAACTATTGATGATGTTATCTATGTTATTGATACTGGTCGAACAAAAGCGAGTGATTATGATCTTGAAACACAAGGCAAATGTCTTTTACCAACACATGTTTCACGAGCTAATTTACTTCAACGAAAAGGTTTTAATCAAATAAAAATTTACTTATTAAATCTACATATATTTTTCTTGCATAGGACGAGCTGGTCGAACTCAACCAGGTGAATGTTATCGTTTATTTACACGTTGTAATGAACGTCTTTCGTTCATTGATTTTCCTCAAGCTGAAATGATAACATCACGTTTAGATAATATTTATTTACAAGCTAAATTATTTGACATAACGGATGTTAAAACATTTCTACAAGATGCACTTGATCCACCATCAATTGAAGCTATTGAACATGCAGAAAAATTTCTATATGATATTGGAGCATTAATATCTAATACAAATGAATTAACATCAATGGGAAGAATACTTGCTCAGTAAGATCAGTATTTGCTAATCAGTTTTTCTATTACAAGAAAAGTTGTCAGAGATATTTCATACAAAAGCTATCCTTAAAATCTCTATATAATAAAATAGATATTTTTTTTATAAATATTTTTAGTTTACCAATGGCACCTCAAATTGGTAAATTATTAATTCTTGGTTATTTATTTTCTTGTTTTGATCCAATTCTAACCATTGCATCAATACTAAGTTATCGAGATCCGTAAGAATCTTTTTTTGTTTTTGTGAACTATTAAAATATATTTTATTTTCTGCATTAAAAGTTTTGTCACTCCAATTGATAAAATTCAAGAAATTAAAGAAACACGTCAACGTTTTGGTGAACGAACGATGTCGGATCATTTAATGTTAGTAAATATATATAAACAATGGAAAAATCAACGAACCTATCGTGATAAAAATCAATTTTGTTATGAAAATTTTCTTAATTCTAATCATATGAAAATGATTGATAAAGTACGAAATCAATTAAGACATCTTATACAAGATTATTTTGCTTCATACACAGGTTGAATGAATAATAAAACTAAATTATAATAAATTCATTTTCTTTGTTTTTAACATATATATATATATAGGCGATGCTAATAAGAATCAAAATAATAACGATTTAATATGTGCTTTAATGTGTGCTGGACTTTATCCAAATATTGCACGTATTCGTTTATCACCAAATAAATCATCAAAACGTCCATGTTTATTAGAAACCAAATTTGAAAAACGAATTTTAATACATCCAAGATCAATTAATGCTCAATTAAGGGTAGATTGAAACAGTTGTCTTTATCGTAACTAAATCTTTTGAATTAATTTCTTAAAGGATGATGACATTCGTCGATCAGCTGCTCAATCAACTTTAATTGTTTATCATGAAAAAATTCGTACATCAAGTATATTTATTCATGATATAAGTTTTATATCTACATATGCATTATTATTTTTTGGTAAAACACAAATCTCAAGAGAAAAATCTTCAGATTCAACAAATAGTATTATTTTAGTTGATAATTGGATACAAATTAATATTGATAATAAAACAAATGAATTAATTTATGAATTAAAAGAAAAATTTAATTATTTAGTAGAAAAAAAAGCATTGAAGAAAAATATTTTTCTTGAAAATGAACAAGATTTAATTGATACAATAATTCATTTTATAACAAAACAAGATAAAAATTTATTAATACAAAATAAATTAATTGATGATCTTTCAAAGAATAAAACAGTTTGTGAAGATTGGGATGACTAAATGATATAATCATTTAAATTAAATTTCTATTTTTGTTATATATGTATATCATATTTTAAATTCCAGACAACAAAACATGTAAAAATGCAGATTTGTTTTGGTTATTTTGTTTTAGATATAGTATATATTTTTCTAAGTTCTAATTTTATTTGGACAATGTAATGTCGAATAATCCAAATGAACCCATACCAACGGTGCGTCTTCACCATCACCAACAACAACGACCACCACCAGTTACAGTTGATGGTGATACGATGGAACGATTATTTCAAGCATTATTCTATCGTATTGCTGTTCTCTATGCTCGAACCATTCCAAAACACATTCGTCGAATAGGTGAAACGGCAATACTTGTTATGGTAAAAAAACACGAAAATTTCAAAATGTTTTTATTCAATTTTCTCTAGCTAATACATTACCAATGAATCTGATGTTAGTTTTTTGAGAATCATTTTGTAGACAAAGAGTAGTTTTTTAAAGAAAGTCTTCGGCTATATTAGAAATAGCTGAGCGAGTCTCCATGTGGGCATTACTTCTAGAGATAATCGTAATTTCATGTTCTCTTTAGACGTATATTTAGAACTGTTTCTTCGAGTTCACAGCTAAATAACTTCTAATAATAATTTTTTCTTGCAATTTATCAATATACGAAAACTATTTTAGGCAATCATTTGTATGACTTTACTTATTTATCTTCATATTGTAATTAATCAAAAACCATTGACGTGTCTTTCGCATCTACATAATAATTGGCCAAAACAAGGTGTACTTCGTATTGAATTATTTTTTGAATCTCCACCGAAAGATTATAGTCTTGAACAATCGTATGCGAAAGAATTTTACAATTATTATAATAATAATAGTGAAGAACATCTTTTCTTAGCAAAACAAAATGAATCAGTAAGAAAATAAAACTAAAATTTTTTTAATAATTTGAATTTAATCTTTTTTATTCATTATTAAAGATTTCTCCTATAAGTAAAAACTTGGTTGAACAAACAAAAAATGATCTATTAGAAAAATCTTATCCAAATATGAGTATTCGTTCTTCTTTATTATCATCACTTGATCGTACAAATGAATTTTTAACTGAAGATGAAACAATACAAAATGCACAACTTATTGATAATAATGATACAGAAGATAATGAATCAATATTTAATTTAATATACAATTATTTATTTGATTTTGATTGGCTTCAACAATTATTAATTGAAGAACAACATATTCTTGAATATTCACTTGAGTATGGATTTTTACGTTTATCACCAAAAACAAGAAAAAGACTCAATATTGAAGTTTTACTTGTTACACTAGGTAAAGCTTTTGTTTACTCAAATTTAACAAGATCTTAACTAATTTTAATCAGTTTAAAACATTAGAAATAATAAGAAATATCAAATGTAGTTTATTTAAATGGCGTAAAAGAATTATCGTTTTTTTTCAGAGGTTCATTAGTACAGACATATCTTTTGATTATTAGTTATATGTAAACAGAACTATAAATAGTAGTTATGATTATTTTACTATTGAACAAATGATTATAGCATATATATTGACGTCAAGAACATATAATTTTGTTAGTAAAGTTAATTATTCTATCTACTATTATATTAACCATAGTATGATTGTTATATTGTTTATTTTTAATTAAAAAGATATGACAAATAATACATGTTTTGGTGGTAGTTTAAATCGATTTATACTTGATCAATTTCTTGGTTATCAAGAAATATTGATGTCTGGCATAAAACAATTAGCTGAAAAAGAAGCTCATAAAGGTAAAAATTTATTAAAATAATAGATTATTGAGAAAAATTTCCTTCTATTTAGGTTATGTTCGAAATGTAATGACACAAGATCATTTTCGTTTTGTTAGTACATTACAAAATCGTCGATGGTGGACTTATCTAGTTGCTTTATTTATTATGGTTATATTCGTAAGTTTAATTATTAATATATATATGTATATATTAATTCCATTTCATTTATTTCAATTTAGACAATTAGTATCTCAATGCTTCTTCGTTATTCACATTTTCAAATCTTTCTTTTCATTGGTTAGTTATACTATGACAGACAAAAAAAATCTATATAAAATTTTTTTAGTTGATCTTCTACGTATGATGGAACATAATGCATCTGTTGTGTTTCCTGCTGCACCATTATTAACAGTGATATTAGCATTGATTGGTAAAAAAGATTGATTTTAATGAAAAAAAGAAAGAAGTATATTTGTATGTTATAGGTATGGAAGCAATTATGTCGGAATTTTTTAATGATGCATCAACTGGTAATTATTATTTTAAGCTAGGCATTTTTACTGACTTGAGATTTTATTAGTTGAAAATTTTTTTTCTCATGATCTTTTTCTTTCTTTAGCTTTTTATATTATTCTTGTTGTGTGGATATCAGATCAATATGATAGTATATGTTGCCATACACCACTAAGTAAACGTCACTGGGTTCGGTAAGTTCATTTTTTTGATTAAAAAACGAATAGATTTATTTATTTATTTTTTTAAAGATTTTTTTATTTATATCATTTTGCATTTTATGCATATCATGCTCGATATAATGGTCAATATTCAGGTTTAGCATTAGTAACAAGCTGTTGTTTTATAGTTCATTCAATGTTTTATTTTTTTCATCATTTTGAATTACCTGTTATTGAAGCTCAACTTGTTCATGTAGTTGTTGATCAAGCTAGTGCAACACAACCATCTACGCCAACGACAGAGAGAAATGAAGGAGAAACTTCACCAACATCTTGAAAATCCCTATTTATTATCAATTAAATGTGTATATCATTTAATATTCTTTTTTTTTTTGTTAGACTTTCTAATGAGTGTATACCACGAAGACTTTTATTTTTATCTTATGTGTAGTGATGTGACTGTATTTTTTTTTTCCTTTAAACAAGTGTATTGATAAATATAATCTCATACACGTATTCATATTCATTCATGTTTTTTTATTTGGTAATAAAAAGGATTAAAATCGAAGAGAAATAGTCAGTTTTAAAAAATATCCATCAATGAAAAGACTAGAATGATGGAAAATTAAAGCAACTGAAATATATCAGTTGAAGGACGTTAATCCTTTTGAGATGAAACTCTTTCTTTGACATAATAGTTAATAGATAAGTTTAATTAAAAACAATTCATTTTTTTATTTTTAATGAACTTTATTCATCATTTTGAGTCGAGTGTAATACAAATGTATATTATTGAATAGAATAATATATTAACAATAAATACTCAGAAACAAAAGCTTTCAGTATATGCACATGTATATTTATATGTGTTCCACGTTCTCAAATAATTAAATAACGTTATTCTCTTTCTCGTAGGGAAGAATCCAGTAAGAATAAATTGTTTGCTTGCTTGTGTACCCATACCGTCACTGATTGACCCAAAAATAATGTGAATAAAGATCGAGAAACTCAAATCTGAAGTTGTTTTTTAAAATAGTTTGCTAGTAGTAAAGACACATGGTTTCTACGAGAAAGAACTACGCTAGTTTTCAGACCAACGTTACTTTGTATCAAATATTGATGAATTAGTAGATATAATTTATTCTTTTTATGGATCATTTTAACAAGTATTACATTCGCAGATTATTTATATATATTTGTTTTTGTCTGGAGACAATCAATTGTCATATTCATGTGTTTTGTAAATTGATTTAACTGCTGAAGAAAAAAAAATATAGCCAATAATCTTTAATATCATCAATTGATGAAATTCATATATATTTTAGTTTTAAACAACGAAGCAATTTCTTTCGAATTATTCTATTAATACAATAATTTAATTACTCTTAATAATGTAAGAAATATGCTAATCATTAAAGAAAACAATTATATTAATAATGAAATTTGAAAATATTTACTACATAACATAAAATAACATCTTTTATTTTTGTTTTTCTAATTGATAATATTTTAAATACATAAAAAACAGACAAAACAAAAAATTAACAATATTAAAATCTTCGTAGTTTATTAATTAATTGTCCAAGACTTGTTCGAAAAGCAATTCCACTAAATGAATAAAGAAAAAAATTTATTGAATACGATGCATATGATACAAAATGTGTTAATGTAACTCCCATATAAAGTATATGTATAGCTAATTTATCTTCATGTGTTGTTCCATGTTGTAATAGTGAAGACGTATTTGTTGCATTAAAATGTATTGAAAGTTCTGTTTTTAAATCTTTATTTTGATTAAGTTGTTCAGTTAGTATTCTTTCGATGATGACTGTATAAATTTTAGTTGCAATTGCAAATAAATGTGCAGGAGCATTAAGAATAAGAAAACATGTTGAAACAAGAACAAGCATACGTGTAACACGTATTGATTGTGATGCTCTTGTTGATACTTTCGAAGTAAGTTCATTATCATTTGATGGATATGAAAATGTTTTTGTTGCTCGAGTTGTAAATGAACCATTTGAGGATTTTTTTCTAGGGTGAGAATGTCTTTTTTTGAATAACATTTTTGAACGAGTTCTCGATGGAGATCGATAATAATTTGATGATGTTTCAGAATTTGCACGATCTAATAACTAAAGAGAGAGAAAAAAGAGTCGATGAGCGATTATTATTATCTTGTATAATAGAATTGATGTCTTAAAGAAAAATAGTTTTTTGTGCATTACAACAGAATCATATTTAAATTGCTTGAATTTCTCTTTGGCACTGTCTGCAAATTATTTATGGACTAATTCACATGTATTACTTTAAATAATGTTTTTTTTCTCATTATTTACACGAAAGGATTGAGTTTTTTTTGTCATAAAAAAACCTATTCAATTTTATTTTATTATTCATTATGATTGTATAAATATTTTTCATTGAAAAAAAGGATCTTATAACAAGAAATGTCAGTTATTATTTGTTTATCTTATTTAAGTCTACTTGACCTGTCATTTTTCTCTTAGTACTATTGTTCCTAATTAAATATGTATTTATAGTCTAATAAATTCTTGACATATGAGATCATATGTATGTTATGATGTCGTCTTACAAGAGAACATATCAAATATCAATTTGATTTAGAGCTGAATCTTCTCGAATTTTATATACTTTATTAAAGTATCTCTAATGTTAAGTAAATTGAACACCTCTTTTGTTTTATCTCATCAATAAAAGTCACTGATTCAAGAAAAATAAATGATACATCAATGGATTAAAAAGTTTCGAGAAAGATTAATACTAGACTTATGTTTTCCTTCTATTCTTATTGTATTATAAATTAAATATACCGATTCTTTTCATGCACAAGGAATAAATCGTGTCAAATAGATAGTGTGCCCTTGATTGGATATTCATTTTGCTTGTTTCAATTTATATTGCCTGAGATAAAAATATTTTTTTTCAGATAATATACTTGACAAAGTTGACGTGTTCCTTTTTTTGTTTTGTCCTCGAAAACAAATGACGAGTACTGATTCTTTCTTTTTATAGTAGACAAAGTTTAATAGGGTCTATAATATATATTACGCATCAATCTAAAATCGAACTGACACATGCCTTTTTATTATCTTGTTCGTTGAATAAGAAATTCTATTAACATGAGAACTATACTACCTTTCAAATAAATATTCTACTGAAACCTCGTTTAAAAATAATGACATCTAGTCTATTATATTAGTAATTACACACGAATGACAAAATTCATGTAAAATGAAGACCTATAATTTAAAACGGAATAACTGATGTGAGTTCTGGATATTTTTAAATATATACAAGGAAATACTAATTTTTTTCTTTTTTGCCTTTGGCTTTTTGGTATTATTTTTAATGTATATTTATTAAGGTTATTTTACTTACTGATGAAATGGATGGTCGATAGATTCGATTTTCTAATTCAGCTAATGATTGTTTTTTTCTTGGATATTTAATTTCAATATTATCATTTCCATCAAAATGACTATATGCAGCAGTAATATTTGTTGCAGGATTATAATCTAACTCTAATGTATCTTCAGGATTATATGCTTTATAACTATTTTTT